GCCGCTGGAGGACCCGGGGCTGGGCGAGGGGACCGCGGCTCCTCCGCAGGCCCGGAGCGGCCGAGCAGGGGCCGTACCCGTGAGGCGCTGGAGCAGAGCCCAGGCGCATCATTTAAACAAGCAACGGTGCCACGTGTTGCCAAAAAGCTGAAAATTCTTGGTCAAAACAGTTTATCCGAAGCCTCGTTTGATGATCTTACTCTTCTTTTCAGGTGGATGGCAGATGTCAGCCCTCGCTGGGTTTCCCCACCACTTCGGGACCTAATGCATTTATTCTGGAGAAAAGGAAGCTGAGGGGAGACCTCGTCGCTCTCTACATCTGCCTGAAAGGAGGTAGGAGCGAGGTGGGAGTCCGTCTCTTCTCACAAGTAACAGGCGATAGGACAAGAGGAAACAGCCTCAAGTTGCTTCAGGGGAGGTTTAGACTGCATATTGGGAAAAAGTTCTTCACAGAAAGGGTTGTCAGGCATGGGAACAGGCTACCCAGGGAAGTGGTGGAGCTGCCATCCCTGGAGGTATTTAAAAGACAGGTGGATGCAGTAGGGAGGGACATGGTTTAGTGGCAGAGTAGGCAGTGTTAAGTTGATGGTTGGACTCGATCTTAAAGGTCCCTTCCAAGCTAGACAAGTTATGATTCTATAACCCTCATACCTGCAGACATCAAATGTTGGCTGTCAAGACCTTGCCATTAAATCTTTTAAGTGAAGCCCTTTAATGACTCTTCATGCTAATCCTGTTGGTTGGTCACTTTTGGGGTTGGAGATTGCAGTTCTGGGCTGTTAGGTCCCACCACGTCGCTCCACAGCTGTACAGCCTCACCACAGGTATTGCTTCATGTCACACACACGGCCAAGACAGCATCAGGTGTATTTTGGAGCAAACTCCTGTGCTCGGGTGGAAGTTGCATGATTGCACCCTCTCCTTTCCAGCATCTAAAGGGGGCCTACCAGAAAGCTGGGGAGGGACTTTTTACAAGGGCAGGTAGTGATAGGATGAGGGGGAATGGCTTTGAATTGGAAGAAGGGAGAATTAGAATAGATATTAGGAAGAAATTTTTCACTCCGAGGGTGGTGAGGCACTGGAAAAAATTGCCCAGGGAAGTTGTGGAGGTCCCATCCCTGGAGGTCTTCAAGGCCAGGCTGGATGGGGCTTTGAGCAACCATAGCAGGGGGGTTAGAACTAGATGATCTTTAACATGCCCTCCAACCTAAACCATTCTGTGATTCTATGATTCTGTGGACCTGCTGGGGCAGGTCCAGAGGAGGCCACGAAAATGATCAGAGGACTGGAGCCTGTCCCTGTGTCACACTCACGGACTGCTTTGGAGCTGAAGGCCACTTCCAGTCTCTCCAGATCTCTTCTGCAAACCCTCTTCCCATTTCTGTCACGTATGTTACTGAGCCCTTCCAGGCTCTTGTTTTCTCTGCCAAACGGGGAGTGGCAGCATATTTCTATGGTTACACTGCACCACGACCATTTCTTTCTTACACTTCCACTATACTCTTTGTTTTTCACATTTTATCCTTTCGCACACTCCTGTTGTGCCCAGCGAGGGCTGAGAACTGCAGTGTTACTGTATTTTATAGCATGCAAATACATATACACACACTGACCATGATATAAACAGCGTGCATTCTAAATAAACACTGAAATGACTCATGTAATCAGATCAGTTCACTGTAGAATACGAAAATCTAGAAATAGCAGTAATACAGCATTCAGATGAGATAGAGATTGGTGGTCCGACTGCACCATGCAGAGAGGTTATGCCACAGGCTCCTCCTTCGGCACACAGTACAACGTCCGTAACAAACCGACACTTTCAAACACAAGGTGAAGCCCAGCCATCTCCTCCACTCTTTACCCAAACACACACCCGCTTACCACATTTTGCTGGCCAGATACATTACAAAATATAGAACACAGCTTTTGAAAGAAAAATAAAACAACCAAACAATGTTTCAAAGAGTAACCAAGTCAAATGCAGATATTCAGACACCAAGAGCATTTGGTCCATGGACAACCAAGAATGTTTGTTTCATGTAGGTGGTTTATTCTAAGAATTTACAGATTTCTGGGGCTTTACCATTTCTTCACAAAATAACAGAGCAGTCTCGTTAACACAGACACAGGCAGGTTAAACCATATGCTCAGAAGAGCTCTTCTTCACCTGTAAGGAGAATTGAAGCAAATTAAAACCCTTTTATTTATTTATGCTTTTCAATTTAAAACTTTTGTCTCCTCCAATCCGAATACTTCAACTCACTGATATTCCTTGCCCCCTGCCCCGCAAACTCTTTATTTTTCCTTGAAGTTTTAAATTTTGAATATGCTTATGTTGCTACGGAAACCTCTTTAGGTACCACATCTTACATCCAGACATTTTTAAGTCACTGCATAAGGTCAGGACACTATGAAAAAATTAAAACAGTAATTGCAAATGAATCCAATAGTCCAGAAGAAAACCCACAGAAAATTATATCAAATGTGGATATATTCTATCATGGACATATTTTGCTTAAAATTATTGACACTTAAGTCTTTGTTCAGACAGATTCAAACTAGCAATGGGCAGTTTCCCAGCTCTTTGGGAAGAGAAGTTTGCCTGACCAACACCACTGAATTCCAACTTCCTCATTTGACTTCAAGATTGTCTGTTAATTCACTTTAAAATGCAATCTAGTTTCTATTTCATAACTTTACCTCTTGGATTTGGCTGAACCGCTTTTTCCGATTAATTCCTGGTTACGGTATTACAAGAGAAAACAGAACACGCAGGTTAGGAAGCAACTCATGCAAATTCAGGCAAAACAATGCATGTATTTATAACCGCCACTGTATTGTGAGGAGCACAATACGGCACGTCACTGCGGTATGGTACAGATCCCAGGCATTTTGTAAACACACAGGATAGTCACACATGTATTTGCATCCGAGCATAGCCCAAATTTTTAGCTGTTAAGTGTAATACACATTAGCTACACGCAGTTACAACTTGTGGTCTAAGCCCACATGTTTGTAACCTGCAGTACACACCTTCACAAACCTTCCTTCTTGGGGAAAGAAGCAAAATACTGAACTTAAACTAAAATATGCATTCAGTGCCAAGAGACCCTGGAAATTCCCTCCTCCTTCCAACCCTGCCCCCAGGCTCTCGGCTTCTGAACACCACCACAGACTGATTTATCCAAATCAGTGTTTCAGTCACCAGAGTTGCTCCCCCCTCCCCAACTCTACTGGGCCGTTTGAGCAGAGCAGGAGAAGCCTAGGTAGAAGGGAGGAGGGAGAAATCCACTCAAAGCCAAAAAAAAAACCAAAACCCAACCAACGCCCAAAAACTCACTGCCTGTTCAGGCAAGGATGTGTGTTGAGGCTAAACTATTTTACCAGCTTTTTAACTTCATCTGGCCAAAAAAAGACTGTCAAAATTCACGCTTGTTAGTAGAACTGCACAAGCTGACAAACTTCGGAGTCATGCCAGGGACTGCTTTCCTTTTGGTTTCAGGACCTACATGCCCTCACCTTTCCTGTTAACTGGACTGAAGCAGGACGTACAAGCATTACATGATTTTGCAACAACTCCTGTTTCACATTTATACAGGTACTCACAGAGCAGCAGCACCAGAGATGATCTCAATAAGCTCCTTGGTAATGACGGCTTGACGGGTACGGTTGAATGTCAAGGTCAATTTGTCAATCATCTCAGCTAGAAAAAATTGAGGTTGGAATTGAAATATATGGTAACTATCCAAATGCAGGTAAAGAGCTGTACGAACAGAGTATCAAATAGTCTTGGAAATCCATGCAAATGATCAAGTGGCTTACTGCACTTTTCATTCTTTTCCCCTACAGATAACAGTACCAGTAGATAATCTAGAAGCTTGACAATTTGGCTTGAGGCATCAGAGTTAAACATCTGAAGAACAGCTGAGAGACTAGTAAATACCATGGTATGACATCACTTATTTTAACGTAACACAAGCGTGCATTATTTGCCTTTGAATTAGATTTCACTGTCAATTAACTACATTAGTATTTCCTTCAAGTTACTGTTGTTTTGGCAAAGGGAGCCAGATTTTTTTTTTGTTCAATGTTTTTTTAAATGCAGGAGGTATTGCCTCTTTCTCTCAAGATAAGGCGGTTAGCAGAGCGTCACACCTACAGGTCCAGGTAGCCCCACTGCACATCACATCAGATTTCACTCAGCCACCAGTACTCTTTATGCAACACTACTTTTTTAGGACTGAAGCCCTATCACCACACCACATTAAATCTATTAGCTGTCTCCCAGTAACACCAACAGCACACTCTGCACTGCACTCAGTTTGGACACCTTCCAAGGAGTACTTGTATATTCTCAGCTTGTTGCGTGACAGGTGGTAAAGTATTTAATCATTGTTTCAGCTTCCCCACCTTTAAATTGGTGCAGTAATAATTACATTGGGCTTGAAAGTAGGTACAGGCTTATAAAAGTTGCAGAAATACTCAGACCGGCCACACACGAAGAGTGTAAATATTTGGCCATTACAAGATGAGTTTAGTATTTCATATTGTTATTAAAGAATTTGTTCTTTCACTTCCAGTTACCTAGTCTTGTTTCTCATATACTTGACAGCAATCCCTCTTTCTAGGGACTAAATAAGGCGCACACGTTCAGAAAACAATCCCAGTTGAACTGGCTCAAAAAACCCAGACTCAAAATGGAATTAAGAAGAAAAACCAGCTCATTTCTTATCGTTTTGGGAATTAAACAAAAGGAGGCCAGTACTTTCATGCCAAACTACTGACGTCCTGGGAAACCCAGAGCAGACTTACAAGCATTCTTGCTAGCGTTGTCCATAGCGGTCATCCTAGCACTCTGCTCACTGGTGGTGGATTCTTTCAGGGAGTAGTACAGAATATTTGCTAGTGTAAATTCCTGGTAGTTTCTCAGCACATCAGCATCAATATCATCATAGATACTTAGGCTTTCTGTAAAATATAGAAAAGCAGACTTAGAGAAATCCAAGATATACTACTCCTAGCAAAACAATATAACGGCATGTGAAAGGCTACTCAGTCTGTTTCTCTAATTAAGGCAGTGTGGAGGGATTTTCTACATGTACTGTGTGTACAAAATTTTAAGTTCAGAGAGATTAAGTATTTTATGTCTTTTCATTCAATTTAACACTAGGAAGGTCAGATTCTGACTGAGGCCAAGGCGTGTTATGTTTAATCTTCCTATACAATGCCACAGAAACATTCTATAGTATTTTTACCGAGTAGTGCAAAGTCACTCAATGCCCAGGCCGTTCAGTGCTGAAAACACTCAAACTGACAGAGTTTTCTATATGCACAACTCTCGCTTAAGAATGTCAAACCAAAATCAGTATTACCTTTGTTTTTAACCTCCCTGCCCCACAGCACCTTGATAGGTCAGCCTTGGACTGTCAAGATAAAACAACCCTGTAAACTTATGACATGTTAACAGCAAAATAAGATGTTTTAATAACATATGCCCATGTTCAGAGTACTTTTTCTGTGATTTATCACTTCACATAACTGGTGGTTTCTAGTTCACTACTTACCAGAACCAGCAACTGTTTCAAGGGAGAAGATCGGTTTTTCATCAGTCTTGTAGGAGATGACAGACCTATATAAAAATAGCGTAATAAGGCTCTTCAGTTCAACTAATCCTAAATTGAGTGCTTAAAATCAAACTAGAATAGACAACTTCTGGCCTCCCAATCCCACAATATTTTGCGATAATCTTGATGATGAGATCTCAGATGCCACATGGATATAATGACATGCCGACTGTAAATATAAAAACACCCACTATACAAGTAAAAAGATAATTCCAACCACAGCTGTTAAAAAAAAAAACAGTAACAAAACCAACAAGTTCTTCACATACAACAAAATGCACTTACTGCTCCAGAAATAAAGTAAACATGACAATTCCCAGTCAGTTTCCATATTACTTCATCAAGCCAACGTGCTGTTTGGAGCCATCTACCGAGTATTTTTCCAGTGCAATTTCAGTTTAATCTTACCTGAATCGATTGTAGATGACAGAGCCTTCATCAAACTCATACCCAGAGTTTAACAACTCTGAGGCAATGATTGAAGCATCTCCAAAGCTTGGAGGTCTC